GGGAAATAGAAAATAGAAGAGATCCAAAGGTGTACTCTTTTTGCAGATCTCACCCTGCTTTGAATTCCAGTGCTGTTCTGCTAACTCCCCCACCTTCATGCCAATCCATCCAAGATCTCATCTTGTCCTTGGTATTCAGCAGTGCCAGGCTCCAGGACAACTGTGAAGTAGATATTGCCTGGCTAATTAGGATGTGTGTGTGTGTGTGTGTGTCTACACATATATGTTCAGGTAAATTTCAATGGCCGTTAAGAAATATAATCTTGTTTATTTTCTGTCCTAAATTTTTATTGTAAGTCAGAGTGGCGAGATTTTAAAACTGCCTCCTCTTGTATAACAGAAGGAATAACTTACACTGCATATCCTTTTGCCATATGTTGTTTCTTTTGAAACTTGACAAAACCTAACCATATAAGGAGAGTGGGTATATTTCCCCCCATTTAGAAAAGTAAAATCCTGCAGTTCGGAGAGGTTATGTAGCTTGCCCAAGCAAGTTTGTGTAGTGTGGAAGACTCTGGCTTCTGATGATGTGCCCCTGGGTTCTCCACCTGCTGGCTCTCTAATAATAATTGTAGGATGGTCTCATTCAGCTTCGTGTGAAGAGACGAAGACTATTTACTCATTTTCTCTCTCACGATTTTCTCTCGTCTCTCTTCCTGCCTATCTTCTGCTGTTCTGTCCCCTGTTGTTTTCTCAGTATACCAAAGGAATGAAGAACAATGTTCAAATTAAAACTTTGTTACATTTTTAAGCTGATTTTGGAGCATTTGGCCTAACAGTTCAAGAGACTATTTATTTTTTTCACCATTTTACCATTATGGACATTGTTTTGAAAAAATACAGCTCTGGATGATATGGATAGAAATCACTCACCGGTATTTGTGAGATGAAAATCACCCTCATTAAGACTGCTGAAGAGTAAATAATATTCTATCTGCTGCATTTATTTGACTTTTGCTGCCTGGTATTGTAAAGGAGAATTTTAGAGAAATTCCTAAAAACAATAGGAAAATTACCATGAATAAGACAGTATTGAGCAGCGGGGGGAGCTGAAATGGTGAGGGAGGAGTTGTACAGACAGGCATGGGAGGTTGGCTCTGAGCCACCCAGTAGCCACTAACCACGTGGACTATTAAAATTTTAAATAAAACTATATTAAAAATTTATTATTTAAGCACACTGGGCCCATTTTGCTTGCTCGATAGTGCCATGTGCCTAGTTACTACCATATTGGATAGTGCACATAAAAAAAAAACATGTCTCTTGCTGCATAAATGTAATTGTATCATGCTGCTCTAGGCAGATGAGCAAAGTCCCTCATAGCATGTCAAAGTCATTTAAATATGGGAAGAACAATGAGCCATCCCTAAGGATTTCTTCCTCCCTCACGCCCTTCCTCTCTTCCTGTCTTCCTCCCTTGGCCCCTTTCTCCCCTTCTCCTTTTCTTCCAACAAATATTTAGAGAGCAATTACAATGAGCCTGGCACTCTTCAAGCATTGGGGCTACAGTGATAAACAAGAAAAGATGTGGCTCCTGCCCTCAGACAAGTGACCATCTAGTAAGGGATTCAGACAGTCGAAAATTGGCAATTATGATCCAGGATGATAGGTGCTAAGTGCCCCCAACCTGGTTTCAGACCTCAGGTTAAACAGAAAAAGAGATGTCAGAAAGCTAAGACTTGGAAGATTAGTAGAAGATATCCAGATATAGAAGGGCAAGGAAAAAGAAGGAATAAGTGTGTTCCAGATAGATCAGTAGAATAGAAGAAAGAGAACAGGATACACTCCAGAAACAGAGAGAAATTGAAGATGACGAGTATATAGTGCAAGCAAAGAAGAAGAAAGAAAAGTTACATTTTGTTTACAGTTTAACCCTCGGGTCTCATTGCATTTGAGAAAGCTTTAACTCTCATGAAAGGTAGAGAAAAGGATATTCTTTTGGAAGAGAGGCTTTCCGAAGGTAAGTGATCTTACATCATGTATTCTGCTTCTTTGTAGAATAGGTTCTACACCCCTTTCAGATTGTGGGCATAGAAAGCTGTACCTCTACCCCCTGGCTATAATTAACTAACTATGGGTGAAAAAGGGGCCACATACTAAGCCTGACAAACTCAGGGGAGGGCACCATGGTGGACCCTACATACTCAGAGACCAAAAGTAAACACATAAGATGGTCTGAAGATGAAAATTCCTAACTGAGAGTGGGTCATGCAGGTAGTTATGTCCTAGGCCTATAGCTTCCTTGACCAAGGTCAATCTTTTCCTTAAGTGAGTCTGTTTATTGTCTTTTTGCATCTAGATAATACACTTTTGAAATGTCAGAGTAATTTTCTTTACAAGACTCTTCAGGGCACAATCACTGTAGCAGAGCATCAGACCACAGCATCCTACATTGTTCCCCTATTCCCCGCAACTATATATGCTGTAAATGTTAATTATTAACTATCCTGTACACATCAATGTAAATGAGGTATGTATCTCTCCCTTTAACTTTTTATTCAATCCCAGAGATTTTCCCACTTTGCTTTCTCCCACCCCCTTAATCTGCCATGTGGAGGGAACCAAAATTTTGCCACTCTGGAGCTGCTTTCGGGATACCGATTTTAAGCTGTTTATTAAGAAATAAGACTCAGAAAGAAACTTTGGCTTTCCCCACTTTCCTACCCAAGAGGTGCAGATAGAAAAATCTGCTTCAGGAAGGAAATCTTAGGATGTTCACCTGAGCCTAATTTGAATTAAGTATGGTGAATAAGAGGGCTTCAGGCATGGTCTTGTTAGCTAGGTACCCTCTGTGTCTCATTGTTTAAGTTGCCCAGCAAAAATTTGCCTGCCATGTGTGTTCCCTCTTCTTCAACTACTTGTAAATTACCCATTCTCATTTCTGAAATCTAATATACCATCCCCCCACCCTTTCTACTATGTCCAAAAATGTCATATATACCTAATGTTGCCTTGCTGTCTTTGGCATTTTCATGCTTATGTGAATTCCCCATGTGCATGCATTAAAACTTTAATTTTCTTCTGTTAATCTGTCTCTGTTACTTTGATTATTAGCCCAGTAGAAGAACTTAGAAGGTGAGAGTAAAAGCACTAATTTTTTTTAGCCCCCACATATATAACCCTCTTTTGTCTCCTGCTTTGATTCTAATAAATAAAATAAGCTGCAAAACTGCCATTTTCCAGAGCATTTTCTCAATGTGTTGAGATTTTGCTTCCCAGCAATCGTTGTCAGTTTAGCTCAAATAAACTCATAAAAATTCTCTACAGTTCCTTACGTCAACATAACTAACTAAGTAACTCTCTCTCTTTCTCGCTCCCCACCTTCTATCTCTTTCTTCCTTACTCCTGCAGTGGGGAAGTTATATACAACTCAAGGCTGCCTAGGGACAAAATCATACAGTATAAAAAGTATGATCTATGGAGTCAGACAGACTTTGTTTTAAATCTTAGCTACACTAATTCTATTGGTTTGGTCCATGTTGCTGAAAAAAATCACTGAACTAAAGGAAGTTTGTTTGCCTGCATGCATCGAAGCTAAATAAGACACAAACAGGTGTCTGCTGCAAAGAAAGTAAAGGTTTATTTAAGAAAATGGCCCCAAGCCTGGAGACACAGGTGAGCTGGTGCTCAAAGATCTGGTTCCCCGATGGCCTCTAGGGGGTAGGTTATATAGGGAAAAATCATTAGTCATGGTAGCTAAGAGATTTGGGGTTATGGGCTGTACTGATTGGTCAGAGTTGAGGTAAGGGTAATTAATCATTTCTTCAGGTCTTGAGGAAAGTTTTAAGGTCTTTCCTAGGGTCCTTCTGTCTGTTCTCATGGGAAAGTAGCCAGGGTTTTTTTCTACCTTAGGCCCAAGGACTGAAATATAACTTAGGTCAAGATGTTATCTTTACCTTGACAAAGGTCCAGATTGTGTGACCATTAGTCAGGTCTGGGCTGCTGTCTTCTGCTGCCTCCAGGGTTACTGATTATCTGAGGGAAAAGCTAGGTCTCTGAGGGGTATAGAGAGAGGTCAGGGGGATATGATTTCTAGAGCTAGGCTATAAAAAGTAAAGTTAATCAAATTCATAAGGCCTTTAATTTTGAAAGAAAACAATCAATAACTATTTATTAGATTAACGACTACATGAATTCTTTTTTCTCAGCCTCGATTTTCTCATCTGTCAAGAGAAAAAATAAAATAAAAATAGTACTTACCCATAGAACTGTTGGGAATATTAAATCAGATCATAGAAAGCACCTAGAACATAGACATTTGATAAATGACTTTCTCATTTTGCCTTCCAGTTGTGCTTGCCCTTAGGAAAGAATAAACATAGTGATACGGAGAAAGAAAATGGAACCCCAAAAGGAAAAATTGAGCCCAGCCCTTTCAGTGTTCCTCAGCTTCTTCACTAGTGTTCCTCCAACGTCAATATAAAGCCCCAAAGTACAAAATCTCTGATGATGTTTAGTTCCTGTAAGTGCTCTTAACATTCTCTGCTATGTTCAGCACAGAAAGTTTGGCCAGAATCTCTCATTCAGTAAAATAATTAACGTGGCAGTCTCTTTAAGTGTTGCTATAGTAGTTACCGTGGTGATGAAATGAAAATGCAATTTGAGTAATTCATAATACATAACCGTTCCCAGAAAATACAAAAGGAATACTTTTAGTATAACTGAATCATTTTGGTGATGTCTCAGGGCAACCTGTTACTCACTTGAATGATTCAGACAAAAGGCTCTAATGAATAGAAGATTAGACTGTTTGCATTCGCAACTAAATGTACCAAATACATTCCTAATGTGTTAATTAACATTTTCTCCAAATGCAAAGAAAAACATTCCTTCTGAGAAGACAGGTAAGAATCTGATTGTAATGCAGACTCAGCTGGCATTCAAAAAAAGTCTTTGGAAAAATGAATTAAGTAACCACAACATTCAAAAAAGAAAACTCTAAAATTCTGAGTTATAGACAAGGTCATTTCTGATAAATAATAAAATAGAGAGTGGCCATTTTTAAGGTATTCTAATATCATATCATATGCTTCTCTTCAAGATTAGAAGATTTTTAAACATCCTTTTGAAAAATTGGACCATTTGTATAACAATACAAAGGAATGAACAAAATATTATCTGGGGAAATGATAAATATAAAAATATAACCCCAAAGTCTCACATTGCTCCCGCAGGCCCTGTATCTCCCAAGGTCCCACAGCTGGTCCATTTTTCCTTCTAAATGCCTCAATATTATCTTTACTTTCAAAGAGCTCTGGGTCTCTGAAATGACTTAGGTTAGAGAAATGGAAAAGAAATTGTGACTCTCATGGGCCTTCCAATCAGATCTCTGTTCACCAGCTTTGAAGTTTGTTGGTTTTCTGCTCTTGTCAATACAAATCAGGTAGGACCTTAGTGTACTCTATATCTGTTTTAGGCCTAGATATCCAATGACCAAGTGAAAATTGTTTAAGTCCCTGTGGATCAGACTATTCTGATTGTGATGGCAGAGAGATGCTGTATGGCACATATATAGCTATGCTTTTTGTTATTACCTAATGTTACTTGGTTTTTTTGCCACCTCAGAATTCCCTCATCCACATTGAAATCAAGGGGTTCATTGAACTTTTGTGCCTCTCACCAACATTTCTTTCATCTGCAAATATGCTGTTAGTCCCCTTGCCATTGTACTTCTCAAGTTATTGGTGAAACAGTTTCTAGCCCTTTCTAGGAGATAATTGGGGAATGAATATGGTTGGTCACATTGCACATGACAAAGCTACTCCAGAAATTCTATTTTTAATCTTTGTATTCCTTTCTCTCCTTTAGTCCAAAGGACTAATGGCATTTCACATTAATATTATGTGAATAACATATATTGTTCAGGTTGCATTAACCAGCTGAGTAAAGAATTAGAACTACTCTCACCTGTTTAACTAGTGTGTTTAATGTAGAATCTCTAGCACCGATATCAATAAATTCAGGTTGATCCATCCGGGACCAGGCCCTCTTAGAATCCATTTCCACACATATTCTCAAGATCCTAGCAGATATAAATTAGTGGAGTTCTAGAGATGTTTGTGTATAAGCCTTCTTGTACTTTTCTTCCTTGACTTGACCTTGGAGACAAAGAGGTAAAGAGAGTGAAATGAGAAGAATTGGCTTCCTTGGGAAGGTAACTCCCGTAAGTGAGAGAGGACAGTGTCTTCAAGGAAGGGAAGATGGATTTCTTGACAGAGAGGAGGCTGGCAGAGGATGCTCAATGGGGGGTGAGGATTCAGGGTACTCCAAGTTTCTCCAAACCTCCTGTATATTCCCAGAATACCGCCATTCACAGAACAATGGCAATGGACTTGATCGATAGATTTTTCTGAGCTACCTTGCAGCAATAGAAAAAAGATTCTTTTAGCTTGATCATAAACAATCCCTGGGTTTCATTCAGTGTCTTTATCTGAGAATTTTGAGAATTGTTATTCTCTTTTGCTGAGCTTTCCAGGAAAGTGATAGACTAATATCTCACTGTCGTCTTTGATTTCTATGTTCCTTTCACTTTTATATGGAAGTGGCAACTCGATCTTAGAAAGACTTTTCTTCATTGGGCATTACCTCATTCCAGGTAAACAGGAATTATAATTTAAATGGCTGACTTATTACATTCTAGGGTCTTCCTGATTCCCATGCAAATGGAATTCTCCCTGACTTCAGGCCCACATCGTCCACATAGCCAATCTCAGGCTTTTCCTCTGCCATTTCTTTGAGGCCACGTGTGATGCTAGTTTTGGTATTAGTCAGGATTCTGGATTGCAAGCAACAGAAACTGACCCGAATAACTAAAGCAGAAAAGAAACTTACGGGAAAGCATTAATGAGGAGGTTGGAGAACCCGTTAGAGAGTGAGCTGGAGCTGAAGGAAGCCACCTCACACCCAGAGACAGCCTTATTATGATGCTGCAAAAGGCACTGCCGGCACTGTTGGTCACTGCTGCTTTGCCTTAATCCTCAACACTGCTGCTGGACATTCTCCACAGTCTCCGTAACAAATAGTGTCACGACAGACTCTCTACCTTCGCATCAGTTCTTCAGATTCGAAAAGCTAGACAAGACAACCCAAATGGTTTAGCCTTCCACCGAGACTGACATATTGAGAACGGACATATCCTGCCAAATAGGAAGGGCTCTTTGCTGTTGCATATATACCCCTTCCTAACATCCCATGTCCCACCAAAGACAAAAAGCTTGCATCGTAAGTTATCTGCAGACTTTATGGTTCCTCCACTGTCATTTAGACAGAATTTCTGCCCAAAACAGGAAAATATTTGAACCTTTTGCCTTATACTCCCAGATGATACTAATACTAATATTGATTTGTCCCATAGTATGTACATGGGGGGAAAGGCAGCAGAAACTTGCCTCAGCTCCTAAAAGATATGTCATAAACTCCTTGAGGGGAGAAGCTGCCTTGTGTTAATATCTTTATAACTTGGTGCTTGAAACATGTAGGCACTCGATGTATATTTGTTAAATCAATAAATGAATGAATGAATGCTAGACATGTAAGGCTATTATCTTTTTAAAATGAACACTGGGATTTGCATCCTACTGTAGATCCCCTAAGCCACTGCAGTAGAGCCTCCAGTCTTAGATTAGCTACCTGCATAAAAACCACCTGGGGTACAGGTTAAAATGCAGATTCCTGAGATGTACCCCAGACCTAAACTAAATCCTAGTAATTATGGGTGAGGCTCAGGAACTTACATTTTAAAGAAGCACTCCAAGTTATTCCCATGCACAGTAAATTTGAAAGCTAATGTTCTTTGTGGGGGTTATTACTAGTGGCTGGAGTTTAAGGATTCTAGTTAGCAGAAATTAATGAGAGTGGTGGGAATAAAACTTTATAAAGCCTCATTTATAAAGCTTTGGTATTTATTTCAACAGCCAACGTGTGGCTCCTAGAAGATAAGTTTATCCTACTGCATACTTAGTATTATGTTAAAAGAAAGCTTGTAAGTGAGAAAGAAAGTAAAAACTCAGTTATATCTTTTTAATTAGGATATTATTCTCATTTCTCTTGCTTGCCCAAGCTGTAATCTGAAACAAAAGAATGGAGAAAACAAGTCGAAAGATAAATAAAGCTATTTTGGCCACCTCTCAGCTAACCATGTTAACAAGCTCTCTTCAGTTCGGAGTAGGGAGGGTGAGAGTGAGCGAGCTACAGTGAAAACATTACAGAAGTGTTCTTTGGTATGACCAATCCACACAGTCACTAGTATAAGACCTTCAAAAGTACAGATTGATCTTCCAATGTAAAAATAAAGCTTTTCTCCACCTTTGGAATGGCAGTTCTTCTACAAGTGTATGTCAAGTATACTCTTGGTTTCTCAACAGAAATAAAAGAAAAAGGGCACTTACCTGGCTGGGGAGACACCGTGGTCATGAAGGTGGTTTGCCCATGGCAAGGCTTATCTATTGCACTCCTGATCTGCTGACCCCTGCAATTTCCTCAAGTGTGAAAACCTTTACTGCATAATTTGTGGTTATGGGCACTGCATTCATGCTCTCCTCTTGTAAGAAAAAAGAAAAGAAAAAGGAAAAGGTCAATCTCATATTTATGTCGTATTGCTTTCCCACCTACAGAACACTCTTCGATGCATCAGCTCATCTGAGCTTCACATCTCTACCTGGTCAGAAAGGTATGCCCATTTTACGGAGTTGGTAAAAAAAGAAAACAAAAATGAAGAGATTTTTTTTTAAATTCCCACAACTAATTGGGGCTGTAAAATATAAAGTTTGACTTTTAAATATATATATTTTGTATGAATTAATAGTATATTAAAACATTGACATTTATAGAATCTCTGTTGAAATATAAAATTTTAATTTACAGAATTGTATTTCATATTCACTACTTTTTCAATTTAATAAATGTACTTTCAAAATTCCATTTATTGTTGATTAAGTCTTATATCACTCTGCTGTGGAGTCATGACTGAAAAGACCTGATTCCTGCTTTGAAGAAGATCACTTAGAGTAGAGAACAGACATTCACATCCAGGGTATGCACTGACATATTTACTCAATAAATATTTTTTGAGACCCTACTATGGGCCAGGTATCAAAAGAATGATTGAAAGATGACTAAGAGTTTCCCAGGTGGTAAAAACATGTGTGCAAGAATGTGTGTGTGTGTGCACATGTTTGTGTGTGTGTGTGTGTGAATGTGTGTGAGATAATGGAGGTGGTAGAGGTAGATATAAGGGGACATTCAGAATGCCAAAAAATAAAATAAAAAAAAAATACTGATCTTGCTCAATCTCTTCATTATAGATCACAAGTTCTTTCCTCTCCAGAATGTCCTCTATATAATTTTTTAAAGAAATATGAACAAATATGAAAGAAAGTAAAATCTGCCACCACCGCCATCAATTTCAAACCTTAATATGTATAATTAAGAAGAACAATACCATATGATTTCATGTATATGTGGAATCTAAGGAACAAAAAAAACAAACAAATCAAAAACAGATTCACAAATATAAAAGACAATTTGGTGA